AAATAGATGCTTAGCATGAGGGCACATGGTTACTTGCTCTTACAGTCAAACAAAATGAATTCAGAGGGATAATCAAAGAACTTAAATAAGACCCACATATAAAGAATGTAGGCTGGAGCAAATGAAAATAGAGGGTAAGTAAAACAAGTGGGAAAGATAAGCCCAATGTGCACACAGATGGGCCAAGAGCCAATGGGAAAGATTTGAGTTTTTACTCAACAAGGTTGCATTAAAGCTTATTAAGTAAAGCTGCCAGCACAGTCATCATCAGCAACGGTCTTTCACTGAAACAACACTGAATCAGTTTTACTCAGCAACATGCATTTGTTGAGTAACATCAACAAGGGAGAAGAGATTAAAACCACCAAGAGTGTGATTTCATATTTTTGAGTGTGGGGGGCGTGATACTTTGAGAAAATGCAAGGCTACATGTTTGCACGAATAAAACAAACTTTTATAACACAATGGGTGGTATCAGATGGTAAGTTTACTTATTGTGTATTCACTTGTAGACATTCCACCAAACCTTCACAGCACAGTGACTGTCAGATATAATTTTTCTATCCCTCTACAGAATTTCCCTAGCAAACCAATGTTTCGATAGTTGATTATTTCAGTATGAAGCAAGCACACATGCAAGCAATGGCAAAAGACAAACTCTGACAGTAAAATGATTTACGAGGAACAGCTTAGTGGCTTTCAACACTGCAAAACTTCAACAGTGAAATCTAGTCAATATCTAATTTCATGTATTATTTCTCATCATGGGATTGGTTTAAGAAAATTCAAAGCTGATTTAACTTTTGTTTTTTCTTATTTAATATTTTACTTATTTTATTCAGTGTACTGATCTTATTCCATTCCACTTGCAACGATATTTAAGGGAATTCACAATGCAAATGGCATGCACCCTCTCACAAAAAAAGAGAGTTACTCTTTTCACAATGCTCCACCATTCACCAGAATAGAAAAACTAGAAATTTAATGTGACAGTTTAAAAAAATTTTAAAATTGCAAGGACACTTGACTAAGGACAAGGACAACTGTTTCATGCATTACACAAATTCTTTTTTGATTGCAGAAGTACTCTTGGCTGTATATAAAGTTGTCTCTAAATCTCTGTGAATTCCTGGGGAATTATAAGAGAAACGCTGAGGGGCGCACAGATTTCAGTATGTGAAAAAATAATGCTTTGCAGGTTTGACACAAAACTAGGTTCAACCAACATGCATAACAGTACACATACACTGCCTCAAGACAACTAGCTCTAAAGAAGGCTTGGGCACTCCCCGCTGCCCTGCTGTGCTGTCATAGGCCTGGGCAACACATCAAAGATAGTTAATGCCATGAAGACAAAACAGTTTTGGATGTCACCAACTAAAGATTCAGCAGCAAAATCCTTTAGCTCTGTCATTGCTAACAAACGTTTCAACGCACCTTCTGTGACACACAACACTGATCTGTATACAGTGTATAAAAATACATCTTGTAAATCGGTACATAACAATTCTGAAAACTGGAAAATGTACTAATACTCATTTCCCACAATATCAATTCTAACTATGTCAGACACGCATTCTTGCTCGCTGTTTCATTTGACACACACAGAATACTGTACAGATCTACTGCACTGTAGAACTTTAGCTCCACCTCCACTTGCTTGCAATGAGTTATTATGTGCCAAAATGGCAAACAGTGCTGCTTCACAGCTTTGCAAGCAGTCTTGTTTGACAAAGAAAGCAGTACGAGAGTTGTCTGGATTTACCTGACAGAGGGCAAACTAAAGGTGTGCTACAGAACAGTACAAAAACTAATAGTGCTAACACATTTAACCTGGCATAACACCTGAAAGACTAAAACATGAAGACCTGTAAAAAGTTTGAAATATCAGTGAAAGCTAAGCTAACCTGAAGCCATCACAAATCGTTTAGTAACGGCCTTTGCATTTATTTGTTTCGAGAACTGAATGCACTTATATATTATTAAAAATTCATTAGATTTTTTTTTTTTTGCTGACGTGTGGTGGTATTGCTATGTCTTCTCTTCTATTGCTGCATATCTGCACTGATGGTGCAAATATTAGTTTTCAGCTGAAAAGACAAATCATTACTATAAAAATGAAGTCAATGAGTCACACTATTATCAGAGATTTTGTCTCTTTTTTAGAGGTTTAGGGCTAACCCCCTCAAAACTATCAGGTCTTAATTTTTAGACTATAGTCATGTTGGAGGGAGATGTTATTGTGCTACACAACAAATAAAAGTTACTTTATCACACCTCACTCTAATATTGGGCATACAAAAATGCCATTAAAAGTTAAACTGTTGCAAATCAACGTGTGTGAAGTGATGGACATCTAAAAGATTCCTCACATATGCCACTAGCATTTGAGCCCCCAGCCTGTGATCAACCTCAAACTTAAAGGACTGCAAGGCCAGATACCAGCAGGTGATCCAGAAATTCATATTTCATGTGGTGGAGCCACTGGAGTGGGGCGTGACCCAAACAGAGAGTGAAAGGGCGTCCTAACAGGTAATAGAGGAGGGTGAGAACCGCCTACTTGATGGCAAGATGCTCCTTCTCAATGGTGCTTTACTTTGTATCTCTCACAGAAAGCTTGCGACTAATGTACAACATAGGGCGATCCTCCCCATCCAACACCTGGGACAAAAGAGCCCCTAGCCCTTTGTCCAACACACCCATCTGCAAGATAAAAGAGCCCAATATAGTTCCCCCTTTTTAGTAAGATGGGTTAGCAGGCTGGTGACATCCAAATAATTAGAAACAAACCTGGGGTAATAGCCAGCCAGCCAAAGGAACCATCTCACCTCCTATTTGGCCTTGGGTCTTGGGTCGTGCATGTCTAATCAATTTGAGGACACGCCAGTCCACAACCCAAGTGGAAGCCCAGATACCAGTACCTCCACCAATCCAATAACACACTTCTTTAAGTTTGCTGTGAGGCCCACTTGTCTCAAGGACTCTAAAACTGCCTTCAGATGCTGTACATGCTGCTGCCAGTCATTACTATAAATAATGATGTCATCCAAATAAGCAGCAGGATACATAGAATGGGGCAGTAGGATTCTATCCATGAGCTGTTGAAACATGGTTGGAGCCCCAAACAACCTGAATGGAAGTGTGATAAATTTGTGTAATCCAAACGATGTGGCGAACACTGGGAAACTGGAGTCATGGCATGGGGCATGGCACGGGGTAAGCATTGAATTTGGACATTACATTGACTTTTCTATAATTGACACAGAATCGAACAGTACTGTCGGGTTTGGGAATAAGTTTCACAGTGCTGCTCCAATCGCTGCTCGAGTCCTCTATTGCTCCCATATCAATCATGGCCTTAAGTTCATCCTAAACTACTTTTTTTGTGTTCAGGCAATCTATAGGGATGGCTGCAAACAACAATCCCTGGAGGTGTCTCAATGTGGTGCTCTTTGAGGTTGGTTCGGCCTGGCAGAGGTGAAAACACATCAGAGGACTCTGTTTGCACAAGGCTTTTATCCATATAGCAATTCAAAGGGGAACCCCAAGGAGGTTTGCAGAACCTCTCCCACAGCAAACAATGGAGATTCTAGTGACCTATCCCACTGTCACCCAAACTTATGAGTCATGTTTTTTGGGGTCGGATTAAATTTTCTGAGCCGCCCGTCCATTTGTGAATGACAAACACTGGTGCAAATTGATTTAAATTAATTAAAGTAATTTATACAGCTTGTGTAAAGTGCGTAAAATAAAAGTGGTGCACTGCTTAGTTAGAATCTCAAGATTCCAACTCTGGAGATAACATGGAAGAGTGCCTCCACAACACTACATGCTGAAATGTTGCATAAAGGCACTGCTTTCAGGTATTAGTTGCATAGGCCACTAAGAATAATGCAAAGTGGTACCCTTGTGCACTCCAGTCTAATGGCCCGATAAGGTCCAAACCAATTCTTTTGAAGAGGACCCCAATTGAAGGAAGGCCAGTGGGTTAACTAGTTGACATTCATGGCAAGATGCACACCACTTGGGTGCATCACCGTAAATGCCTGGCCAATAAAAATGACCCATTAGGGTCATTAGGGATGGGCCTCCCCAGTAAGCAGGGGAGCAGTCGAACCACCCAGTCCTTCTAATCCCCCCGATAGTCCTCTGCACAACTTAGCGAGTTGGATTTTTTACAGTGTGATTCCTAAACCACATAATGCACCAAAAAGGCAGGACTTTCATAATATTAGATGGATCCTGAACATCTTGTATGAATGAGAAGGAACTAAAGACTCTCTTGTTTTCAGTCACTTGATGCCAAGAATTTGATGGAGTCAAATGGCCATATCCATTGGATGTGCTCTCTCAGGTGGGTCAGAAGGTTAAAATTCTGTATGCAAGAAAAACAAGTTATCAGTAACAGCCTTAACTGTCCATCTTTTTAACCATTTTGTGGTACTCCTCTAGGGTGCCTGCTTTCACCCCTTGTGTTTATTTTAGCAATAGAACCTTAGCAAAAAAAAGTATTACAGGGACTTACAGTGAACTGAGAACTAGCCATAGTGATAGATGGAGAAACTTTTTACTCAATCCTCCCACGTTTTACGCGGCCTTCCCTCAAATGCATACACATCAGCCAAACAGGAGCATTTTGTATTTTTCCACGCACACAGCCCAGAAACTGCAATTAGGCTCGTGCAAAAGTTTTGTACATAACACACAGGCGGGATGTGTCCAAATTGCATCTGAAACCTCCACAAAAGGCTTAGTACATTAGGCCCAGAGTGATGCAGTTTATGTAAAAAAGTTTTGCTACCATAGTGATATGTATACCACAAAAAAGAAAAAGAAAAAAAAAATATGGAAATGGAAGAGAAAGAAGAAAACATGTTTCAGAATGTAACGTTTTTATAAATGGTAAATAAAAATGAAGAATAAATAAAAGGAACGGAAAATAAAAATGGGCGGTTAATCAGGAGCTGGTATTCATTAAATATTATTTAAATAATGTCCAGAAAAATCGAAAGTCATATTTGACTGAAATGCCCATGCTGCTTCTGTAAGGCACCACTGGCTCACAAATACATTGAGATAGGGTGCATTTCTTTTCCTGAGACCATGCCTCTGCTTTTTCCCAAAAAAACATCTGTGCACCGTCCTGCATGTCTCACATATTTGCTTTGAAAACATGTAACTATACATCATGAACAAGGTACACTGCTGGTGTCTCTCAAGCCACAAGTTCCCTTGAGTATAGAAAAGGGAAACTGCTTCAGACAAACTAAAGCTTCTGTCCTTTAATTAAAAATGTTTATGATAAGGAAATTACCAGCCTCAGAGTGGTATTGCAGTACAGATCCATGGTACTGAGAGGTGATCAGATGGGATTTGGAAAGGACATCCCTCTAATACTGGGTGTATAAAAATGCCATGCAAGGTGAAATTGCTGCACATTGTCATGTGTGAAGTGATGGACATCTGCAAGTTTCCTCACCTAGACAGTTAAATTTGTGGCCAGTTTTCTCCAAGATTTGGAATTTTTAGAATTTAATACGATCAGAGATTTTGACATAAAGGCTTTTTCTGTGCAAGAAAAAGAAACACAACAAAACACATGATGGATTTTAATTTTTCCATATATACAACATTTTTGACTTTAGAATCACTGGAATTGTCTCCCTCCAATGTTTTCCCAGCATTCATGTTTGGAACTCTCACCTATTGTGCCATTTTGGTTTTCAATATGACTGTATTGCTAACAATTGCTTTAAATCAGAAACTCCATAAGCCTATGTATATTCTATTGTTTAACTTGCCACTCAGTGATATGATGGGTGCCTCAGCCTTTTTCCCTCAGCTGGTGTCTAGTATTCTGTCACAGAGTAGATCCATCACTTACTCTGCTTGTTTTGTGCAAGCTTTACTGGTACATCTGTATGGAGCTGGAGCATTTCTCACTCTCAGTGCTATGGCTTATGACAGATACATTGCCATTTGTTGTCCATTGAAATATAACACCTTGATGTCTCCAAATAGCTTGCTGAAAATAATTATTATAATGTGGACCTTGGATTTTACTTTGATTGGTTCACTACTTGCACTGAACTACCGCAAAGAGATTTGTAGCACACAAATAGTGGACATTTTCTGCAATAATCCATCTTTGATGAAGCTGGTATGTGGAGATACAAAGTTAAATAACTACTATGGACTGTTTGTAACAGCTTTTTTTGATGGTCTGTCTCTGCTGATAGTGGTGTTCACATACATCCAAATCTTAATCACTGTTGTTGTTAAAAGACAGTCTGATGCCAAAAGTAAAGCACTTCAGACCTGTGGTACACACCTAATTGTTTTCTTATGCTTTCAGTTCACCTCAGTCTTTGCCTTTATAGCTCATAGATTTGAGACAGCATCCCCAAACTTACGACGGGCCTTAGGTGCTTCTGCCATAATATTTCCTCCAATACTTAATCCTCTTATATATGGACTGAAAACAAAGGAAATTCGGCAGAATTTTATTTTGTTTTTCCCTAAGAAATTTTCCCTAGCAAAACAGAATAATAGTGGGATGAAAAGACAACTGCAGTAAAACAAAACTAAACGAAAAAAAAAACAAAACAAATTTGTTATTTTACCAACTGCAAGTTGCTTTTTATAGTCACTCCATATAAAAGTGACATTTTACATCAACATTTAAATAAATAGTTTGTGATAAACTGTGCCATCTTTTGTGGTGACCAGTAACCTAGAAGCAATGTAAATAAGAAATAACGCCTATTTTTGTTGCAATGTATTTTAAATTACAATGTTTAAAGCCAAATCTCATTTATGGCTACTTCTCACAGTTAACCTGTGCTAATACAATGCAGTCTTTAAAAATGTGAATTTTATGTGTATTTAACATTGTGATAACCGCACAGTTTGTAAGACCTGTCTGACAGTTCACTTTGAGGTATTTAATCTTTCATTGTGAAAATACAGATCTGAGCAAAGTAATCAAGAGATTTTAGGTTTGTACTTTTTGTAAGCTATTGTGGCATGCGCTGCCCACCCGGGCCCCGACGATGACGGCCGCGAGAGCCGGCAGGAAGGCGGGGCCTGAACATCGAACGGCGGCGAACACCAGCGAGGACGACGGGGAGAGAGCCGCAAGTGTGGAGGGGCGGAGCACAAAGCCCGAGCCCCGCCCCCTGGTACGCAGTGAGGCCGCTTCACTATACCTCACGTTCGACCCAGGCGGCCGAGTTGCAAGCTGGGGGCGGTGACGAGGAGGCGGAGTGGCGAGCTCTCATTCCCTCGCGGCTTAGGTGCTCACACTGCCCTTAATGCTGATCTGGCTGGCAGGGTGAGCGCCTTTTAAAAGAGCTGAGAGGGAACAGAGCGGGAGAGAGGGACGAGCAGCAGCAATGATGAAAGACTGTAGAAGTGCTGAAAAGCTTGAGTAGAAAGACTGAAAAGCTGAGCTGGCTGAAGCCACTGAAAAGTGGCCAGTGTATCTTTTGGTTTTGGTTTGAGTTTGTATTTATTTGGTGTGTAATTAAAGGAACATGGCTGCTGCAGCCCTGAACCCTGCCTCCAGCGTCCTCCTCGAGCCCGAGGTAGCACATGTCGTGCTACACTGGTGCCGAAACCTGGGAGGAGGACGCCAATGTAGTAACCCTGTAAAAGGGAAGATAATTAAAGGACAAACTCTCCGTTGTACTTTCTCTTCTCTGTCTTTATGGCGAATCAATTTCAAATACATATTGTACAAGTACAAGATGTACATCTAGCTTATGCTTACATTACATGTGCCAAATTCAGTATTTTCCATTCATACTTTCTTTCTCTTTTCGTCATGAAATCAATGAAAAAAAAACATAACAAAAACAGGCAAGCTCGTCACAGGAAAGATTGGATTAACATGTCAATTGTTATTTTTTCCTCTAAACCATTCACATTCAACTCTTATAAACCACAATACAACTACAATAATGTGTTTGCGAATGCAGACCACGCCTTGGTAAGTTAGATAATGATAGGAGGGGAACTCTGAGGAAAATTTGGGCTGGAGTTCAGTACGGCCTCTGTGGATCGCGAGAGGGCCGATCCCCCTGCCAAGATTGAGTGCAGGCGTGGACAAAGTGGAGGAGAAGGGGAGGAGGAGGGGTGCGAAATTTCGTCACGAGTGGGAGGAGTGAAGGAGTGGTATTTATAGGAAGCTGAAATTGGGAAGGAGGAGTTAAGGCGTGGTCTTTCCTCAAACTTCAGTTATGCCATAACTCCATTAAATTACTATGTTTCAACCTTTGCAATCTGACAATCAGAAGTATGTAGGTTACTACTTTTTAACCAACCGTATTCGGCATTCGCACACACTATCTTAATCAAACGCAGCACGCAGTGTGCCTCGTGGTCTTTTGCTAACCATGGGAGGTTTATGCGCTTAGCCATTTCACCGCTCACAACAACAAACATATTTAATTCTTTTGGTCTATTCATCATGAAATTTACACACAATATAAACGGCCACAGGTATTTTCAAATTATGTCAAAAACTGAAAAATGTTGCTGAAAGTAATTGTTTGTCTAAATTGGATTGGTTTTAACTTGGTTTGGTTTTTTGTTTTTAACTTAAGTGTACTGGAAGCGTGTACTGTGCAGATGTATTACATACAAAAATGAAACTACTGAATTTTGTATTGGGCAGATCAGAAGCAGGGACAAAAACAATATTGGAAAATGTCTTATACATCTTTTTAGAGATCGATCCTATAATTATACATCTTGATCAAGCTGCACTACAGCTAGTGTCTCACAAGCCATGAGTTCTGTTGCGCGTAGTGGAAAGAGAAACTGCTTTAGAGAAACTGCTTCTGCTGATTCTGTCTTTCAACAACAAAAATTTATGGGATGGAATTTAGCAGCCTCAAACTGGCTCCTGCCCCCAGAGTCAAGGAACTGAAAGAGTGATCAGTTGGGATTTAGGAAGGACTTGTGTTTAGTGCCAAGCATATAAAAATGCCATGCAAGGCTAAATTGCTGCATATTTACTCTGCTGAACAGATGGACATGCGACAGATCCCTTTAATACACTGTTAAACCTCTCACAGGTTCTCCACTTTTAGCTACTTAATGTGATGAAATTTTAGCATGAGTGTTTTTTCAGGGTACGTGATCTTCTCACTAACTTAAAGATAAACTAAAACATGAAACTGTATGGGAACTAATCTTTTTGGCAAAACGTATTCTTTTCCTGCACGCCATTTTATATATACAAAACATAAATATAATGGATTCAAATTTTTCCATCTATACAACATCTTTGACTTTGGAATCATTGGACATACCTCCATCTAATATTTTTCCAGCATTCATATTTGGAGCTGTCACTTACTGCACTATTTTGTTTTTTAATATGACTGTGTTACTAACAATTGCTCTGAATCGGAAACTTCATAAGCCTATGTACATACTGTTGTTTAACTTGCCACTCAGTGATATGATGGGTGCCTCAGCCTTTTTCCCTCATCTGGTATCTAGCATGCTGTCACAGAATAGATCCATCACTTACTCTGCTTGTTTTGTGCAAGCTTTACTGATTCATCTGTGTGGAGCTGGAGCATTTCTCACTCTCAGTGCTATGGCTTATGACAGATACATTGCCATTTGTTGTCCACTGAAATATAACACATTGATGTCCCCAAACAACTTGCTGAAAATAATTATTATAATGTGGATCTTAAATTTTACTTTGATTGGTTCACTACTTGCACTGAACTACCGCAAAGAGATTTGTAGGACACAAATAGTGGACATTTTCTGCAATAATCCATCTTTGATGAAGCTGGTATGTGAGGACACAAAGTTAAATAACTACTATGGACTGTTTGTAACAGCTTTTTTTGAAGGTCTGCTTCTGGTGATAGTGGTTTTCACATACATCCAAATCTTAATCACTGTTGTTGTTAAAAGACAGTCTGATGCCAAAAGTAAAGCAATTCAGACCTGTGGTACACACCTAATTGTTTTCATATGCTTTCACTTCACCTCATTCTTTGCTTTTATAGCTCACAGATTTGAGACAGTATCCCCAAACTTACGACGGGCCTTAGGTGCTTCTGCCATAATATTTCCTCCAATACTTAATCCTCTTATATATGGACTGAAAACAAAAGAAATTCGGCAGAATTTTATTTTGTTTCATCATAAGAAGTTTTCCCCAACAAAACAGAATAATAAAAAGAGTGGGATGAAAAGACAACTGCAGTAAAAAGAAACAACAACAACAACAACAAAAAAAAAACAAATTAGTTATTTTACCAACTGCAAGTTGCTTTTTATAGTCACTCCATAAAAAAGTGACATTTTACGTCAACATTTAGATAAATAGTTTGTGATGAGCTGTGCCATCTTTTGTGGTGACCAGTAATCTAGAAGCAATGTAAATAAGAAATAACGCCTATTCTTGTTGCAATGTATTTTAAATTACAATGTTTAAAGCCAAATTCATTTGGTTTCATTCATGACCACTTCTCACAGTTAACCTGTGCTAACACAATGCAGCCTTTAAAAATGTGAATTTTATGTGTATTTAACATTGTGATATTGTTTTTTTTTGTTTTTTTTTTTTTTTTTTTGTACAGTGTTATTTGGTAACAGACCTAATGGGGAAAAAGAACAATGCAGTAGAAAAGCTTAGTGGTGTTGTTTAGTTTTTACTTTCTCAAGCAATCAAAAATCAACTAATAGAAAATAAGTTAAGGACTTCCGTGTTTGCATACAAACTTATATTGAGTCAACTCAACAACAAATCACCAGTCCTAATGATGCATAATTATGATGCACCTTTTCAAAGTCAATAATACTTAATATTTAGACTCTATAGCAGTTAGTGCAGCTATGGTAACACTGAGGCTCCCTAATCTTTTGGTGATGATGGACACTAATACAGATTTTAATTGAATGGCAATGTAGTCCTATTTAGTAGGTGTGGCTAAAGCTAAAGCTGTTGTTTTTTTTTCTTTTATTGTCTTTATCTTTTCCCTTGTGTAATCTCATACATTCTGTATAGCTAAACATTGTTTAAAATAACCGCACAGTTTGTAAGACCTGTCTGACAGTTCACTTTGAGGTATTTAATCTTTCATTGTGAAAATACAGATCTGAGCAAAGTAATCAAGAGATTTTAGGTTTGTACTTTTTGTAAGCTATTGTGGCATGCGCCGCCCACCCGGGCCCCGACAATGACGGCCGCGAGAGCCGGCAGGAAGGCGGGGCCAGAACATCGAACGGCGACGAACACCAGCGAGGACGACGGGGAGAGAGCCGCAAGTGTGGAGGGGCGCTTCACTACACCTCACGTTCGACCCAGGTGAACCCTGCCTCCAGCGTCCTCCTCGAGCCCGGGGTAGCACATGCCGTGCTACACTGGTGCCGAAACCGGGAGGAGGACGCCAATGTAGTAACCCTGTAAAAGGGAAGATAATTAAAGGACAAACTCTCAGTTGTGCTTTCTCTTCTCTGTCTTTATAGTGAATCAATTTCAAATACATATTGTACAAGTACAAGATGTACATCTAGCTTATACTTACATGTGCTAAATTCAGT